AGCTATATTTTAATGGAAGAGGAGCAAGAGGGAAAGCCTCAGCCAGAACCCGATCCCTGCAAGACGTTCCTGAGTAACCAGATCTGCTGTGATGGCTGATGCTGGGCTCCCGCTCCGATTCAAGCTCATAGCACTGGCCCATGATAAAGCCTCTGTGGGCAGGGAGTCTTGCAGGGCTCTTTTTGTAGAAAAAGCCCAGCAGGAACTCATTAGCATAATAGGCCACACCCAACAGCAGAAACTTGTTAGCATAATAGGCCACACACCCCAACCGCACAGTGCATTAGCATATTAGGCCACACCCTCATGTCTTCCCTTGACTTGCCCAGTTGTCCCACGGCTGCGGAATGCCTGGCAAGCTGGCCCTTAAATGTCTCCCCGATCCTTCCAGGGCCCCCCCTGGCCTGCCTGCTTCGGAGTCGCGGGGGGAGGGTTGCTCTCCAGGCCTTCCCTCTGTAGCCACGAGCACAGACATTTTAGCTGTAGTGGGCGTGGCCAACTCTGAAGCCAGCCGGAACTCCGTTCCGGTGCGTTCCTGCCCCAAACTAGCCCTGCTTATCAGTACTGGCCCCAGCGTATGTAGCATAGCAGCGGATCCTTTGGCCATCACTGAGATGTACCCGGGGATGTACCCACGCAGATCTGTGGCCCAGATGGAAAAACGGCTCTCGAACAACTGGCTTTCGAGACTTTAACAGAACATTCATAATCTGTCTCCTTTGTTTGGGGACTTCTGGCGACAGGCGCCATTTGGATCGTTTTGATTTGGGCTTGTTGCTGGCTATTTTGACAACACCGGGGATGGGAACAGGTTGGGCTCCACATGGCGGTTCTGGAAAAGCCAGAACTTTCCCATCGGAAACCTCCTGCCCCCATCGGGAGGCCTTTCTGGATGTGGGGAGAGAGCCCCCAGAGGCGGTGCTGGGGGTCCCCTTTTGGATGAGTGTGTGTGTGTGGGGGGGGAAGCTGCCTGAAAGCAGTAGCTGTGCAATTCATCGCTTGCCAGTCGAAAGATGTAATTATCCGGGAATGTATTCAGTGGGATTACAAGGGCGATGCGTCTTCTCTAAAGCAAGGGTGGGGCTGATAAAGCCTCCTGGAACTTGGAGGCGAGGGTGCTGTAGCTGGACGTCGGCGAGGCCGGGTCTCAGAGATACAGGGAACTACAGAAGCGAGCTCGCGGTTATTTTGGGGTGCAATTAAGCAAGTGGGACGCGAACCAATTATGGCAGAAGTCCGGGGGGAGGAACGGGCGGCCCCGCAGTCCCCGTGAAACAGATGGGGACGCTGGTTGCAAAATGTTCTGAGAAAGCAGGCACGGGAGGTCAGGCGTTATCCTGAAATAACCCTTCGGATGTGGCAGGGAGGGAGGGCTGCGGCACGTCTTGGAGGAGAAAGATTCAAAGGCAAAGCCGGGATGGCTCCTGATGCTAGAAACTCAGCCCATTAAGTGTGCGAGAGGCCTGGGAATGTTGGACCTGGTGTTGGTTCCAAATTCAGGAAGATATGAAGAACTCGGGGGCTGAGGATCCAAATTAGCTCCCTTGGAAAGGGCTCGGTGGTGCCAGTTCCAGGTTTTGGGGGGCCCTGGGCAGACAGTGCTTGGGGGCCGCTTCTGTCCACCACTAGGTACCCCCCCATGCTTCCCTTCCCTTGCCCTTTCCCACCCACCGACCCCCACATGACTGTGCGTTCTTCCTCCGCACACGCACCTTCCCACTGCCTACGCCCCATTCACGCTCTTTTCCCAACAGCACACTTGCTGTGTGGCTGCCGTACCTCTCAGGAGTGCCATTTCCGTGCATTGCCTGCGTGCTCTTCCCCCTCCAGGCTGTGAGAGAGGAAGAAGGGATTGGAATTATACCCCGCCCCTTCACTACCCAAGGGCATCTCAGAGCGGCTTACAATCTCATTTCCCTCCCCACAACAGACACCCTGTGAGGTAGGTGGGGCTGAGAGAGTTCCTTCGAGGACTGCTCTTGAGAGAACAGCTCTGAGAGAACTTGAAACTGACCCAAAGTCACACCGGCAGCTGTATGTGGAGGAGTGGGGGAATCAAACCCGGTTCTCCCAGATTAGAGTCCGCGCTCCTAACCACTGCACCAAACTGGCTCTCTGAGAAGCTGGGAGCATGGGTGGTGGAGTGGTTGCAAGCAGGCGGGCAGGGAAGGGCACATGGGCAGGTGGCAGGAAAGGTGTGTTGGTGGGAGGTCTGTGCCAGAGGGCCACACCAGAAGCCCTGCGGCCCTGGCAGCTGTCCCACCTCAAGGTACACCTGATGCCAGCCCTGCTTGCGTGTAATGGACACAGTATAACCAAAGAGTAGGAGGGCACGGCAACCGCTACCAGCCACACTCACTTTGAGAAAGCAGGGGGTAGGAGAGTGCCTTCTGCCAACTACTGGCTTACTTAGAAGATTGGCCTCCTTAGAAAGCTGGATTTATTGTGTTAGCGGAGGAACCACCGGTGGGTTGGGTTGGTTTTTTTGCAAAACAAGAGCAAATCGGGTTCCACGTGCCAGGAAGCAATAGGAAAGATTATTTTGAATGATAAGAACAAAGAAAAGCCCTACTGGGTCAGACCAAAGGTCCATCGAATCCAAGGTCCTGTTTCCAGCAGTGGCCAGCCAGGGGCCACGAGGAAGCCCCGAGAGCTGGGCAGGGAGGCAGCAGATATCCCCTAAGTGTTGTCCTGTAGCCCTGCCTCTGAAGCGGAGGCTCCAGTCGGCCCTCGTGGCTAATCTCTTTGTAAAATTCTCGGTGTCCCCCCGTCTTCTGGCAGACGTTCCGTAAGACAGCCATGGAATCCTGCGCCTGGAATAAGGCAATTCTTTTGACATTCCCAAAATCTACTGCCAGTCAAACTTTCTTGGTGTCCCGCCCTGACCGGGATAGCCCAGGCAAACCCGATCTCATCAGATCTCGGAAGCTAAGCAGGGCTGACCCTGGCAAGTACTTGGATGGGAGACCTCCAAGGGATACCAGGGCCAGGATGCAGAGGCAGGCAAAATCAAGCCACCTCTTTGAAACATCCAAGCCCCACTAGGGGTCGCCAGAAGCCAACCATGACTTCCAGACACATACACATACACAAAAAATACAAAAAAAAAAGTTTCTTGGTGCCCCCAAGGTTCTAGTGTTATGGAAGGAGAGAATACCCCTCTCCATCCACTTTCCTCACATAATTTTACAGACCTGGATCATACCAACTCCCCCCCCCCGGTTATCTATTTCTTCCTAAACTACAAAGCCCCAAATAAAAGCTGAGGCCCCGGAGGGCAGTCCAATCTTAGCTGGATGATTTCTGGAACAGGCACCTGTTACGTTCGGCACAGAATCGCTGCCAAAAATGACAGCCTTGTGTTGATTCCTTCCCCTCTTCCCCTTCAATGTGCACGCACACACATTTGCGCATTTCGTAATGCACAAACACACCCTCCCACTCTTGCCTCGTTAGCTGATTTTGCCTTCGGTGGAGATGGAAAAACACATGATGTCACCGCATGGGTGGAAGCAGCTGATGCCGATACAAGCTCGAAGGCATTTAAAATCGTTAGGCAAGGAATGCCCGAGGGCAGCCGGGCAAATCAGTTTGCGAAGACAACTAGCCCCACCCACCCATCTGTTTACAGCGGTCCGCCTACCCCACCCTCATGGACCAGCTGTCAGTCTGAAATAAACAAAATCCCCCCCAAGCTTCTGGAGAGAGTTCTAACTTAACCCAGGTGACTACAGAAGCGGCTGGTGACAAGCCTGATTTTTGATACACATTCATCTGTTCTTGGGACAAGGCAGTGGCACTAGAGCAGATATAAGAACATAAGAAAAGCCAGTATTGGATCAGGCCAATGGCCCATCCAGTCCGTCACACAGTGGCCAAAAACACCAGGTGCCGTCAGGAGGTCCAGCAGTGGGGCCAGGACACTAGAAGCCCTCCCACTGTTGCCCCCCCCCCAGCACCAAGAATACAGAGCATCACTTGCCCTAGACTGAGAGTTCCTACCTACACCTTGTGGCTAATAGCTACTGATGGACCTCTGCTCCATACGTTTATCCAACTCCCTCTTGAAGCCGTCCATGCTTGTAGCCGCCCCACCCTCCTGTGGCAGTGAATTCCATGTGTGAATCACTCTTTGGGTGAAGAAGTGCTTCCTTTTATCCGTTCTAACCTGACCGCTCAGCAATTTCATGGAGTGCCCACGAGTTCTTGTATTGCGAGAAAGGGAGAAAAGTACCTCTTTCTCTACCTGCTCTTTCCCATGCATAATCTTATAAACCTCAATCATGTCACCCCTCAGTTGTCGTTTCTCCAAGCTAAAGAGCCCTAAGTAACCTTTCCTCATAGGGAAAGTGTTCCAACCCTTTTATCATTCGAGTTGCCCTTTTCTGCACTTTCTGCACAGAGACAATTCTCTGGTTCCTTCAAGTTTTACTAGCTAGTGTGCATGTGCGCTTGGCCCAGTGTAGACGTCTGCTGTGAACAGAGACCACTGAAAAGCACTGCACCTGCACCGATGTGAAACAGTTTGTCTGTGGTATCCGTTTTCAAGTGGAGGCTGGACGACCATCTTTCGGGTATGTTGTAGGGCTGTGTTTTGGCTATGCTCCTGCAGAGTGCAGGGGGTTGGACTAGATGACCTACAAGGTCCCTTCCAACTCTAACATTCTATGATTCTATGATTCAATCTACAACATCCTATTCACACACAGAGATCACTCACAGCAGCCATGAACCGACACGAGCGAAACAGGTCCGTGATCCTAGAGGACAGAAGCACCTGATCGGATACAGACCCTTCTCCCATTGTGTCCCCCCAAACGCCCCCCCCCCAGAGATATCACACATATTCAGGATGCTGAAGCTTTTATACATAATTTCATGTTGAATTTTCAATACGTTTCCAGCCATCAAGGTACCATACAGTGGGTAAAACCGTCATATGTAAAATATACACACACACACACACACATGTAGAGATAGAAATCTATAAAACCCTGGTATGTTTTTTTATAAAATGCTGCATCATTTATCGTATTTACAGAAACGGACAAGCATACGGCCCCATTACTCTTACTCTAGAGGAGTCTGGCAAGTGGGATGCCTACGCTGAGGCACTGTAGTGTGCTCTTTTCTTATAGGCTTCTACTGGTCTCTCAGCCATCTTCTGGTTTTCGGGGAACGTTTTCTTTTTGGCGGCTGCCTGCAAGAGGTGAAGAGAAAGGTGTGGATCTGAGGGTCCGGCGAGAACTTGCTCAACCTCCGCGGTCACATCCTCAGCCCTCAGTCTGGCTATTTCCACTTCCTGAGCTAAACATTTGAAGCTGCCTGCTGTGGAGTCAGACCATCAGACCAAATAGTACATTATTTGCTAACTCTGATAGGGACCTGTTTTCCAAGACAAAACAAAACCTTTTTAAAAAACCCCAAAACCAACAATAAAAAAAACATATTCTCCAACAGGTGCTACTCTGACTGGAAATACCCATGGCCCTGACACACCATCCTCCGTAGGAAGCGGGTGGGGACAGAGCCTTCTCTGTGGTGGCGCCCCCAGTTGTGGACCAATGTTCTCCAAAGAGGCACACCAGTTTGCCAAAGGAGGAGTGGATGACATGCATACACGGCACTGCTCCTTCTGGTGACAACAAGAGTGCAAGTCAGGGGGAAAGGATGAGGCCGATTCACCTCCATTCACCCGAACTATGTCACTCTGCCAAACTTCTCTGTGAGCGTTTAGTAGCAAGGTTATAATCTCCCACGTGCCAACTGTGTTCCCTCAGCAACACCACATTTAAACCCTGTTTAGTATTTGAACGTTGGCCACACACACCCTCCCCCACAGTTCCACTTGTCATTTCTGTGAGAAAACTAATCAGATTTGGTTACACGAGGCCTCTGCTCAATAATCTTTCCTGACTGAGCCGGGAATCTTGGGCAATAGGCTCATTAACCTGAACCATGAAATGCATCTGCTGGTTTCCCCTTCTGAGAGAGCCTACGGCACACGTGGGGTTGAGGGTTGCTTCAGGCCAAACTAGACATGACGGTGGGTTCCGTGCACCCATTTCATTCAGCAGATTGGCTGGGAGGTGGGGAAGCTAAACCCCTGTCCCTCTCTCACCTTAGATGCTGAGACATTCTGCTCTGGGCCGAACCCACGTCCTACTAGAGCAACCGGCAATGGCTGCAGCTGCGGGTCAGATCATTGGTTTTGCCTGGAGAAGGGCCTGGGTTCGATCCCAGCACTTGCCTGCTAAAAGCCTTCTACGCCTGAGACCCTGGAGAGCTGCTGCCGGCCGGAGCATGGAGGACTCGGCTGGACAGTTCGATAGTGCGGCTCGATGTACGGCAGCTTTGTGCGTCCAAAAGGGGTTCGAGGGAGCAGAACGACGTGGAGAGGTGGAATCCTGCCTCGCCTGCCCTCTCAGGTTTGTGTGTCAACAAATACACATGGATCCCTCTGCCCCACCCTGATGTCTAACTTGGTGCCACCCAAAACAACCAGGACAACGCTGTTTCAAGAGGACTCAAGAGGCGTGAACGCATCATGCCTGCAGACTTCACGGTGTACCGTTTTTGGGTGGATGGCTCTGCTTCTCACAGGCAGAGGGGCATGACAGTAAGAACATAAGAACATAAGAGACGCCAATGTTGGATCAGGCCAATGGCCCATCCAGTCCGACACTCTGTCACACAGTGGCCAGAAATACCAGGTGCCACCAGGAGGTCCACCAGTGGGACCAGCACACTAGAAGCCCTCCCAGTAGGGTATGACAGCAGACCCGAGGTGTCCTCCTTCCACTACCAGGTGCCACCAGGAGGTCCACCAGTGGGGCCAGGACATTAGAAGCCCTCCCAGTAGGGTATGACAGCAGACCCGAGGTGTCCTCCTTCCACTACCAGGTGCCACCAGGAGGTCCACCAGTGGGGCCAGGACATTAGAAGCCCTCCCAGAAGGGTATGACAGTAGACCCGAGGTGTCCTCCTTCCACTACCCTGGCGACTTACGCGGTCCACCAGTGGGGCCAGGACATTAGACGCCCTCCCAGTAGGGTATGACAGCAGACCCGAGGTGTCCTCCTTCCACTACCAGGTGCCACTAGGAGGTCCACCAGTGGGGCCAGGACATTAGAAGCCCTCCCAGAAGGGTATGACAGCAGACCCGAGGTGTCCTCCTTCCACTACCAGGTGCCACTAGGAGGTCCACCAGTGGGGCCAGGACATTAGACGCCCTCCCAGTAGGGTATGACAGCAGACCCGAGGTGTCCTCCTTCCACTACCAGGTGCCACTAGGAGGTCCACCAGTGGGGCCAGGACATTAGAAGCCCTCCCAGAAGGGTATGACAGTAGACCCGAGGTGTCCTCCTTCCACTACCCTGGCGACTTCCACACACACTCGACTCCCGCTCACCCAACCCCAGTAATGTCTGCTGGTTAATAATAACATATGTGCCCTTCCACCACATTCACTTTAGTTTCCCTATTGCTACCCCATGAGCAATACGCTATTTAACCTCTCTGTGAACCAGGGACCCAGAAGATCTGTTTTCTTTATTTATATCCGCAATTTCTTTGCTGCAGTTCTGCCTTAAAGTGCTGCAGGCAGTGTCCTACAGCAAAACAACCAACGAAGTCGACTTGCAGTTTTACTCGCCGTCTCTGCACCTTTGGACTGTGGAATTTTACCATACGGCGGAGTTGAACGGTGAGAGGGTTAAAGTTTCACTACACAGCATGGAGAAGGGCCCGTGGCTCAGTGGCGGAGCATCTGCTTGGTTTGCAGAAGGATCCCAGGTTCAACCCCTGGCATCTCCAGTTAAAAGGAACTGACAGCAGCTGATGGGAAAGACCTCCGCCTGAGACCCTGGAGAGCCGCTGCCAGTCTGAGTAGACAATACTGACTTTGAAGGACCACTGGTCTGATTCAGTAGAAGGCAGCTTCGGGCGTGTGTCATGTGTGAGACGGAAAACACAATGCGGGGCTTCTGTTTTCATTGCCTGCCTTGGTATAGCAGCCTTAGACTGCCTTGGTGGTCTCCTATCCAAGTAATAACCAGGGCTGACCCTGCTTAGCTTCTGAGATCTGATGGGATCAGGCTAGCCTGGGCCGTCTGGGTCATTACTCCTTAGATGTCCTGCCCCCCAAGAAAGGCCTGGATGTAGATCTGTAGTGTCCTCGCCAGGGGAACGCCAACAGAAAGAACTCCTTCAGCCTCTGCAGTCTCCCTGCCCACCTTTCACACTGCTGTTACCGCAAGTCTTCCAACTTACGATGTATTTAAATACTCTCTTTGTGTGTGTGCGTCTTTTTGGACTTAAAGCAATTTGCTCCTCAAATACCTTCACCGCGCAGGCAGGCTTGCAGCAACACAGAGACATCGGTGATCTGTTACCTAAACTACTCAAACCCTTCCCTTTGTGAAGTTGTGGTTTTGCGAGGGAGAAGAGAGAGGGATGTCTTTGGCAGACCTAGGGGGGGGGGTTGATGAGGGGTATTCATATAGGAGTTTGGCCCACATGGGTCTTTACTACGTAATTGGAGACGTTCTGTGACAGGACAGTTCCAAACATTTTGTTTTCTCTCAATCAATCAATCAATCAATCAATCAATCAATCCCTCTGTAGAAAATAAAAAGCAGCATCCAAGATACGCGAAGTGTTTTGATGTTAGTTTAATGGGCTGCAACAGAAACTGCCATGATACACAACCGTCTAAAGGATGGGGATGAGCTAGCTTAAAAAAAAAATCAAATTAAAATCAAGGACGCCCCTGTTAAACAGGAGACATCCCCCACCCCTGCAGTAATTAGAAAATCTTTTATTTGTGGCTTGTGTCACTCTAATGAGATCTCACTAGGCTGACCGAGCAGCGTCTTTTCCTATTCTTGTGATTTCAGAGCCCACACTAACATGACGAAACCTCATTTCTGTTCTCTGCCTCCTGTATTATATGGCTCTAGATGAACAGAGAAAATGGGAAATATTGCTCTGGGCCCTGTGGGTGAAAACTACAGCTAAGATACATACAACCAAACTGGCAGTGTCTGTTCTGGTCATGGCTGGATGTGTTTCTTTGACTCTGGTGATTTTTGCTGGAGACCAGGGCTCTTTCTGTAGAAAAAGCCCAGCAGGAACTCATTAGCATAATAGGCCACACCCAACATCAGAAACTCATTAGCATATTAGGCCACACCCCTGACAGCACAGCTCATTAGCCCATTAGGCCACACCCCCATGTTACCAGAAGTGTGCTCATCCAGCCACACCCACTTTTTGCTGCTTAACCTTGTTGGTTGTCAAAACCCAGGGCTTTTTTTTGGAGCAGGAACTCCTTTGCATGTTAGGCCACGCACCCCTAAAGTAGCCAATCCTAATGAGTTTCTGCTGTTGGGTGTGGCCTATTATGCTAATGAGTTCCTGCTGGGCATGGCCAACTCGGGAGCCAGCCGGAACTCCGTTCCTGTGCGTTCCTGCCCAAAAATAGCCCTGCCGGAGACTAACTGAGCAAAGGATTCCTAAAGCAACCGGGGGGAGTGGGCAGCGTATGTATCGATGGACTCACTTCACTAGGCAAGCTTGAGCACCCCAACTGGTTTCTTGGCAATGCTGGGTGAGTGCTGTGGGAGGGAGAGCTCTTACCTTATGCTGCTTCAGAACCCTGTTCAGCTTCTTCTCCTGGCTCAGCTGCAGTCTTGTCCTCTCCAGAGCTTCTTTCAGCAAAGTGTTCTCTTCGGCTTCCCGGTAGATCCTGTCGGCTAGCTTGGACATCTCGGCGTGGCACCCTTGCAGAGACAGTGTGTTTGTCCTGTAAGGAGCGAGAGGAGGTAGCCTGGAGCGTGGGTGCTGCGAAATGTCATTTGGGACTGAAAGACAACCCCCGGAGCTTTGCAACAAGTGAGGTTTGCCACCAAGTCCCCACGAGTGACTAGTCCACAGCCGATGGCCCCTGCGTACCCATTAGTCCCCCCATTCACTGGGTCTGGATCCAGTGCCTGCTGAGACCCTCTTCCCTCCAGGTAGGGTCCCAAACCACACAGTCACCCCCTCAGTGTGTTGGATCCAGCTGCAGGGGACAACCCCCTGCCCCCTTCCCCTGGAACATCTGTATTAGATTTGCATGAGCTCCTTATTCCTCTAAGGCACTCATGAAGGCAGCTTCGATTGCAAAATGAGACAAATGTGTAACGGGCTAACTAGAAAAAGAACAAAACAAGATTGCACATGAGTAATGTTGCTTCCTGGCCACTGACTTAGAGCATGAGGGATCCGGTTCTGAATGGTCAACTGCTACCAATGGTTACTTCATACGGAGGCAACTGAATGCACAGTTTTATGTGCTTTAGCAAAACGGTCAGGGCCAGTTTGGTCACTGCAGTGTTATACATCGTACTGCAAAGATCTTTCTTTTTTTTGGTTTTAAGTGAGTGATTGGTTGAGTGCTGCCCATGTTTTGTGCTGTAGTGAACTCTATTATGGCCACCGGCTAAAACGGTAATGGTAAAACGGTAACTGAAGCCATCTTATAAAGTGCTACTGTCTGTCACTGTTCCCAGGGATGAACGAAACCAGCTTCAATCAAAGCAGAACAAGCAAGGCTCTTTATTGCTTTTGGAAGCTAACATTTTCAGGGCAAGGATATGACGCTGGCTTTAATAATTCCCCTCTGCTGTGTAAGCAGCCACAGTCCACTCAGCAGAAGGAAGATCTGAGTCCGGTAGCGCCTGAAAGGCCAACGATATTTTCCAGGGTATAAAGATCCAGATGAGTAGCCAGGTTAGTCTTGTCTGTAGCAGTAGAAAACAGTAAGAGTCCAGTAGCACCTTAAAGGCTTAGCCAAATATGTGGCAGGGCATGAACTTCTGTGAATCAAGGCTCACTTCTCCAGATACTGAAGAAGGGAGCAGTGGCTCATGAAGGCTCAAGCCCTGCTGCATATTTTGTTAGTCTTTAAGGTGCTACTTTAAGGAGCTGCGGTGGCTCAAGTGGTTAAGACGCTGAACTGCAGGCTGTGGAAGGTCGGTAGTTCAGCAGTTCGAGACCCGAGTGTGCCGCATGACGGAGTGAGCTCCCGTCTCTAGTTCCAGCTCCTGCCAACCTAGCAGTTCGAAATCAAGAAATTGCAAGTAGATAAATAGGTATCACTTTGGTGGGAAGGTAACAGCGTTCCGTGCATCTTGGTGTTTAGTCATGCTGGCCACATGACCACGAAAATGTCTTCGGACAGCGCTGGCTCTTCAGCTTTGAAACGGAGATGAGCACCGCAACCCTAGAGTCAGACTCGACTGGCTTTCGAGCAAGGGAACCTTTACCTTTTTAAGGTGCTACTGGACTCTTGCTCTTCTCTACTGTTCCAGGGTATAAGCTTTTGACAGCCAAAGCTCCCTTCATCTGAAAATGGCAGCTTTTACTCTCAAAAGCTTATACCCTGGAACCTTTTGCTGGTCTTTAGAATCATAATTCTAGAACCTGGGGTTATCCACTGAAGCTGAAGGTTGGAGATTCAAGACAGACACAAGGAATTACTTCTTCATACAGTGCATAGTTCAGTTGTGGAACCTGCTGCCAACTTGAGAGGCTTTAAACGGGGAGTGGACAAAATCATGCAGGATGGGGCTATCCATGGCTACTAGCAGTGTTCCCGATCGGCTGCGCACGCCGCTCATTAACACAGCAGCAGTCTGGAGCCGCGCAGGGTCTTGCACAGCCCACTGCCCGTTTTAAGATTACAGCAGTTCTGCTCAGGATGTGTTCAGTGTGTGGGGGGGGATTACAGGGAACATTGGCTACCAGTCACAATGGCTACCAGTGTTCCCCCTAAGCTGAGTTAGTGCGAGCTAGCTCACAGTTTTTTAGCCTCTGGCTCACACCTTTTTGTCTTCGCTCAAGAAGGAGGGCTCCAGACCAAACTCATCTATGCAGCGGCCAAATCACTCACTCACAACTTTAATGCCAGTAGCTCAAAAAGTAGAATTTTTGCTCACAAGACTCCGCAGCTTAGAGGGAGCAATTGGCTACTCGTCATGATGGATATCTGCTCCCTCCAGTACCAGAGGCAGGAGGCCTCCTTATATGAGTTGCTGGGGACTGTAGTGTATTCAAAGCTGCCTTGAATGCATAACATGTGTGAAACATCTAATTGGAATGTGATGTAAAGCTTCATTCCTGGGCTAGGATCCAAAGTCATCCAATAGTATCGCTAGCCCAGGAAGCAACAAGCCAATCACTTCAAGCAAGCTCCCTGAGCGGGAACGAATGTGATTGGACCTTATCTCGGCAACCTCATAAGCTAATATGTGTATATTAGCCGGGGATGTTTAAAAGCAGGACAGCTGCAATGTAAAAGCTGTTCTGGCTATGTGATGTTGATCCGTGTTGGAGTTGTGTTCAAGTTGAAGAATAAAGTTGTGTTCTTGCTGAATCGCTCTCTGACTGCTTTGTTAAGCGAGCGACTTAACAGGGACAACAGGCAGGAAGATGCTGCTGCGATCCTCCTCCTCATGGGCTTCCTAGAGGCAGCCAGTCGGCCGCTGCATGAACAGAATGCCGGACTGGGTGGGCCTTCGGTCTGACCCAGCAGGGCTCCTTCTTCAGGTGTTCCTGGGCTCGAATCTGGCTCTTCTACTGCAGACCGCTATGGCCACCCACCTCAAACTATCAGCTGTGAGCAAGCGGCTGGAGCCAGCCCAGATAAGGCCAGTGCAACCTGTGTCTGGTGTATGCCAGGGTCGGGGAGTGGTTGGCCTTGCTCATTCAATGCTTCCAGAGTGGCCGCTGGTGCTGGTCCAGTTGCTCTCCGTCCCCCTCCTGGGCCCCGTGAGGTTCGTACCTGAACTGCCCGGCGTCTTTCTCGTACTCTTTCAACAACACCTCCTTCCTTTCCAGACGGTGCTTCAGCCTGCTGATCTTGTCGAACAGCAGCTCGAGGTCCTTCTGCCTCAGCAGCCTGACCTTGGCCCGCTCGTCGTGGGGGAGGTGCTTGACCGTCTGCATTCCCAGCAGCTCCTTCACGTCCATCAGGCTGGCTAGATCCCGAATCAGGGTGAGGTACTGTGGACGGAAAGGATAAAAGGAAGTTCATAGTTTTTTTAGCCTCCGGCTCACACGTTTTTGTCTTCGCTCAGGAAGGAGGGCTCCAGAGCAAACTGATCTACGCAGTGGCCACATCGTTCGCTCACAGCTTCAGTGCCGGTAGCTCACCAAGTAGAATTTTTGCTCACAAGACTTAGAGGGAGCGTTGCATACCAGCACTCAGTATATCACTGCATACATTTTTATTCCACCCTTCCTCCTAGGCGTTCCAAGCGGGATACGCGGCTTCCCCCATTTTAACCCAACGTATCATGTACAAGGTGGGCCAAGCAGTGAAAAAGACAGACTGGCAGACGACCACCCAGTGAGTTTCAATGGCAGAGTTCGGTTTAAACCCAACAGTGCCATCCTGAGCAGGGTTATGCCCTTTTAAGCTCATGGACCTCAATTAAGAGAAGGGGGGGGGGACTCTGTTTACAGCTTACGTAGAGCAAACTGATCTATGCAGGGGCCAAATCGTTCGCTCACAGCTTCAGCGCCGGTAGCTCACCAAGTAGAATTTTGGCTCACAAGACTTAGAGGAAGCATTGCATACCAGCACTCAGTATATCACTGCATACATTTTTATTCCACCCTTCCTCCTAGGCGTTCCAAGCGGGATACGCGGCTTCCCCCATTTTAACCCAACATATCGTGTACAAGGTGGGCCAAGCAGTGAAAAAGACAGACTGGCAGACGACCACCCAGTGAGTTTCAATGGCAGAGTTCGGTTTAAACCCAACAGTGCCATCCTGAGCAGGGTTATGCCCTTTTAAGCTCATGGACCTCAATTAAGTCAGAAGGGGGGGGGGACTCTGTTTACAGCTGGGCTGCAGGTCTTCCCAGTTCCTGGTCTGATTCTCTAGCCACCGCTCTCTGTACTGGGGAAGGAGATGCCTCCAAACATGGGACTGTCAGAGCATAGGATATGAAGTCATGGTAACAAATATATACTCATGGTGCACCACATGGGAACGGAAAGGGCCTGGTGAGCCGTGGGTGGTGGCGATGTGAACTGAGAACGCAGCTCCGCACGCCCCCCTCCCTTTCAGGTCCCACAGTGTATCTGGAGGCCACGCAGCAGGATATTCCCCCCTGCTCCAAACACTTAATGTACCTGTCGTGCTCATACCATGTTTTCACTGAGGTCTAAAGCATCCGCCATCTCCAACTTTGCAGTCCTTTCTATTGCCACATTGGGATCTGTACTACAAATGCTGCTCTGAAGCTGAAAATTAAGAGGGTGACCTATTCAGAAACACATTAAGGTAGGGAACTGAAGCCAAAAGGCAATCGGGAACATTTCCCCCCCCCCCTTTCAATGACATTTGCCTTTTTAAAAAAAAGAAAATACAGCAAAATGTCATGCCGAGTTTGGTTTACCTTATTAGCATCCACACCTGTCACCGCCGGTGACAGCTCACGTTCTTTCTCTGTTTTTCGATCCCTTTTCTCAGTAAGGTCTTTTTTTAGTACTATAAGTGGCTCCGCGGTTTTCTCTTTAAATCCTAGGAGGAGAACAGAAAACCCTGTTTTTGGAGCTGCCTTGCCTCAGGCGTTGAAAGCGGGAACTCATGGCTAGCCAGTCTCGTAAGGGGTTGGGTAAGAGGCAAGGTTGGGGGGAGATAAAGAAGGAACACTTTTGTGTAGACCAAATAAGCTGACTTATTAGGAAAAAGCTCCGGGACAGAACGTTAAAGATGAGAGCTTTACTGTAATCCTAAATCCCAAAACAAGAAAACCTCCAGATCAGTTAAACCGCTCGCAATCTTCTGTAATCCTAAAGAAGTTCTGTTGTTGTACTTGATTAAGGGTCAAGCCAGATGAGACGCAGAAGACTGGTGATTATATCCAACGTGTTTTCAACTGGTAAACAGCATCGGCTGCAGCCAAGGGAAGGGAGAGTTTAACTCTCCCCCCCCCCATCACTTTCCCAACTTTAAACGCTATTCGGAGCTGCTATTTCCCCAGCATATGGACGGCCTTATGTTTCCCCACAAAATGGCAAACAACATCTTTTGAGTCCGTCTGCAGCTACCAAAAAAAAAAGGGCACAGCCGAAAGGGTTAATACCCAACTCCTCTTGTGTCACGGCCCCAATCCGAATTAGGGCTGGCCGAGCTTTTCCCAGCAAAACAATGCTCTGGAGATCCACCGTTACTTTACGTCACAGAGATCGATTCACGGAACGGAATAAAAATGACTTGGAGCTTTAAAGGCAATACTGCGGATTGTGACCTTCTTCTAACCACACCGCTGAACAAGTCCAAAGCTTCCCTCCGGCCTAAGGAGCCTCCTTCCAACTTAAGCCGACCTTCTTCGGATGGAAGAGCTGCTTGAGTTGGAGGAAGGCTTCAGGCTTTGCTTAATGGTGTGAGCCAGGAGAAGGGAAGGATCCAGCCCAGTTGCCCCAGTCTAGGGGAAGCAATCAGATTCCTGCCTGAGGACTGCTGCATGACCCTGGGGGAGGGGGGGGGGAACAGTACACCCAGCAACCTTGGGGAACCCCAGGATACATCTCTCTTGGGGCAGACTGATCTGCGTAAGCCCACAAGCTCAGCCGGGCGTTTTTGTATATGTGCGGCCATGTTCTGCTCCCAGCAGTTCCCCGGCTCTTCCCTAGACAGGTTCCCAGGGATTCTATCATCATCCTCATCCTCATATGCAATAAATGGACAAACCTGCGTCTTTCAGAGAAAGCGCATCACAAACTCCCAGAGTCACACTCCAAATCTGCATCTCAAGAACTGGCAGTTTGTGTCTGAAGAAAGGTTTTGGTTTCATAGATTTTCTTAATCAAATTATGTGATGGAGGATTATTTTTTTTAAAAAGTACAATTAAAAAAAAACATTATAGCAATACTGAGGCTAGGCTCACAAATAATTATTTGTGGAAGATCACAAATAATTGCAGGAAGGTTTACTCCATCTGTGTGTTCTAAATTCAGTCTTCTGTATGTTCTACATCCCATCCTGCCAAAAGCACCCTTTGAAATCAAGCTCTGCTCGGTTTTCTCACAATGGTGCCCAAAGATAACAGAACAGGGATACAAGTGAGGAAGCAGAAAGGACAGGCAGAGACGGGCATGGCAGTGCTCACCCGAAGGCCGAGTCCTCTCCAGCACTTTGATCCTTTCCCGCAGTTCGGTCAGGGCGTCTTTTTGGCGCAAGATGGTCTCCTCGTGTCTGGAGCCTTTGCATTTCGCTCCCAGGTCAGCCAGGTCCAAGGACGGCACCTATTGAACAGGCTCCAGGTAATGACCCCCTTTCGATTAATGGAGGTAAAAAGGACCTCCCCCTTCGGGTGAGCCAATTCCACTATTCCCCTGTGCTGTGATTGGAGAAGCTGCCTAATGCAGGGGGAGAAGATGACCTGAAAAGCACTCTCTTTGAAACAGGGGAAGGTTTCTCCCTGCATTAACATGCCTCAGTTCAGTTCAGTTTTCGGCCCACAAGCCGTTCAGAAGCAGAGTAAAACAGATAAAAACACTAATATAAAATGAATTAACTACATAAAACCTCTCTATACATCACTTGTCTTAAGATACCTATAGTTAAAAGGTGAGAATCTGAGTAAATTATGCCCTGGAGATTATCTCAGTTCGTATTTTCATTGCAGAACCTAGAAACTTCACAGTGGTTCCAGCAGTGCCTCCACAATCCTCCGGTTCCTGGTTTCAGAGGGAGCCGTTGCAGAGGAATCTTGATGTACCATTTTAGATTGGCAGGATTAGGCGAGCTTGCTTTCCACTGCTGCCGCATTCCCATTCTTTGCCAAGCATTTTTCGTGTACGGGCTAAGCAAATACTTCCTTCTGGTCCCGTGCTCGTTTTGAATGCATTGCTTTTTTTTAAAAAAAAAAATCTGAACTGAAATCTTACCAAAAAAATCAAAAAAGGAAGAACTTTCTATAGCTTGGCCACTCCTGTTCAAAACCAGAAGACCCCCAAAGCTACCTAATCCCATACGCCAAATTCAGGGCCATGCACCCTCTGTGCTCATGTGCACACGCACTCACTCACGTACAGACACACACACAGCAGATGGATTTACACAAAACCAGGCTCCAGTCTTTCCCGCAAAGTGAGAGGACACGTGAGCTTCAGCAAAGAGACTGGAAAACAAGATGTTGCAAGATAGCTCTAGCAAGTAAGCCAAACCATGAACCACAGGGGAAAAATTGGAGGGAGGGAAAACTCTTGTTAATTTTACTTGGGGATATGTTCTGTCCCAGTCCCACACAAACTGCTGTGGCTCATCCTCGAAAGCTCTGGAGAATTCACCTTTTGCGATCCTTTGAGAGGACACTGCATCAGGCAAAGGTCTTTAAGCATTATTATTCTCCCTTCGCGTCCCTTTGTAGACACATTTGCAAAAGAAAATGGGAGCACCAGAGCATCTCTTTTTTTTTTGTCCTACATTTTCCAGCCCTAATGAGCAATTACAGCAACACTCAGCAGTTATAATACTTCACGTTTGCAAAGCGCTATGAAAACACTTCCAAATCACCTACCGCAACATGTGCACGGGGGGGGGGCAGGTATACAAGGAAAATAATGTTCACCTTCAAAAGGATAGGAAGATTTGTATTGGGTCTTTGCTGTTTTTGACTATGAGCCAGCCAGGTATGTTCCACTGAGTGATGCCCGACTGGAGCTTCTGGGGTACGGGAAGAGGCTGGAACCACAGAAGCATCTTGCAACAGACCATGTCCCCAACATGGTGCCCGTGGGCACCCAGCACCTTTCCTGGTGCCCGCCGATTGTTTTCAGAAAGTGGGCGGGGCTGTTGCCCACCAAGGCTTCTGATTGGTCGCTGGAGATTTGGTTGGCTGTGCAGATTATTGAAAATGTGGCTTTAGCAGCAGCTGCCACTGCAGTGCACGGATCTTCACGGTGTGACTGAAGGGAAGCTGCAGTCCCCTTTGTGTGGCTGGCTCGGCCTCCATTGTGCGGCAACCATCTTATGGCTGTGCCGACCACACTGTGCCAGAATTCTAAATGTGCCGTATGGCTCAAAAAAGGTCAGGGGACGCTGCAACAGACCCACCTGCTCTGGCACCCTTCCTCTTTTGACTTCATAACTAGCTATACTTTTCCAAATAAACAACACCACCTTTCAGTAAAAGTAGCTATCTATTTAGCAGGTTTTAATCCCAACCTTCTGCCAAGGCGCTCGGGGTGGCATACGTGGTCTCTCCCTCACCCTATTTATTTTATTATCTGTACTTTCATCAGGTCATTATGAGGCTGTAAGTACAAAGGCTGGCTTGCCAGGTGGCTCAAGGGGCAGAGCACCTGCTGAGCACGCAGAAGGGCCCAAGCTGTGGTCCTGGCATCTCCAGGGACAGGGACTCAGGTGGTGGGTGCTGGGAAAAGGCCCCCCCCTCTTCCCCTTAGACCCTGAAGAGATGCTGCCAGCCAGAATTGACAACAATGAGCAAAACAGACCACTGGCATGCTTCGCTATAAGGCAGGTGACTCTGTACACCCTAGACGACGTCCAGGGCTACGTGAACATTACGAAAAGCTGATGCTGCTCTGAGTCCTTCAATAACTTTAGAGCCGTTTTCACACAAAGGGCCCCTTCGGACATTATGGGTGTGGTTTTGCAGCAACTGCATCGTGAAGTCAAAACAAACCACCCTTTGGCAGCTGATGTTTCAAGAGAGATTTATGG